GCTGACTTTCGTGCTGTCTCCGTGGCTCTTTACCTGCTTTTCTCCGTTGCATCCTCTCTCCAGGCATTTCTCTGTCGTGGGACGCACTCTGGGTCTCCCCGAGTCTCTCTCTCCCACTCTACTCCTCTCTGGCGTATTCCTGGACCCCCCCTTTCTCAGATGACCCCTCTGGCCCTCCTGTCCCCTCGCGCCCCAAGAGGAGGACGGCCGATGGCTGTGCAGGGGCCTCAGAAGCTGTCCTGGAGTCGGGGGGTGGGGCACCTCCTTTCTTGCTTTTCCTTCAAGTGCCTTTTTTCCTTCTCTCTTCCTCGCCCCCTCTCCCCACCCGCGGCAGGTCCACATCTCCCCATGGCTCTCTCTGGAGACAGAAAGCTAGACACGGACCCATATACACCCTGCACGCAAGACTGCAAACAGATCCAGGCTCAGAGGAAGAGGAGGCAATCAGGATGGGAGGAAGAGGCCAGACATGGACGAAGACCAAGACAAGGAAAAAAGAAGAGGGCGATGGAGGTGGAGCCCCAGGGAGAGGAAGACGAGAAGAGACAAACCAGAGACCTGCAGAGACCGCGGGCAATGTGAGCTGGACAATGCCAGGGGTGGGGGTCGCGCGCTCACTGCTGAACATCTAGGGTCAGACTCTGTGACCTGTCCGCTGCCACCAAGCCCTCACCAGTGTCCTCTGTGTGAAATCAGGGTCAAGTGCCTGCCCTCAGCCCCTGGGGCTCCATGCTAGCCGGGACGGTAGGCACTTTGGCCTTCGTTTGCTCTAGGACTGTCTGGGATGCCAGGGACTCATCGGTCCCAGAAGGTGTAAGAGTTGCCAGCCACTTTCACCCCCTCTGCATCTGTAATGCCCCACCCCATGGCTGACAGCCACTCCCAGTCCTGGGTGGGTGGCAGCTGTCTCCACCCAGCCAGGGACAGCAAAGGCAACCAAAGGGATCTCTAGCAGCTTCCCGGCACCCCACAGCGACAAACAGCCCCTCCCATCCCAACTCCACACCCAGCGAGGAGCGCCACCGCCTGCCTGCGCCTGGCCAACCTGCTACAGCAGCACAGCGCGGCCCTCAGCCTCACACAGCCGTGGCCCATGGACCAACCCCCGGGGCCTGCCCAGCAGCAGCCTCCAAGGAGCCGCCCCCACGCCGCACCGAAGCTGCAGCCTGCCCCACACCCCAAGGCCACATCTGTAACAGCACACATCCTATTCCTGGAGCCAAAGCCCTCACCCCGGGCACAACAGAGAGGTGGCTAAATGGGCCTGGGGTATCAGAGAAAACCCCAGGACCCCAGGGGGACCTACTGGCTTCTTGGTTCTTGTCTGCAGAACACCTGTGCTGTCACGCAGGCCTGCACTCCCCGGAGCATCCCAGGGCCACACCAGCACCCTCCAGAGAGGACGTGCCCACCTTGCAGCTCAACGTCTCCTTTCTTACACAGCCCTGGGTGCTGTGCAAGTCACCTCCCCAGACCCGGCAATGGAAGCCGGGTCTCACCCACCGCCAAGCTCCTGCTTCCGAGGTATTCCAGGCTCCCTCGGGGTGTGCGGGCACTCCAGGCAGGCCCCGGCACTCATGCCAGAGTCACCTCCGGGACCCCAGGGCCTGGTCCACACCGAAGGCCACTGTGTCTTTTTGTGGAAGGATGAAAGGACAGAAGGGAGGGAGACAAGGTAGGGACACAGCCCTGCTCCTGCCTCAGATGGCCATGGGGACTCAGACCAGGCCAGCATCCATGGCCCCCAGGAGTGAACCCCCCAGCCCGAGCCATAACTTCCTCCTTGGCTTCTCCTAACCCTCAGGAGACGCCTTCCCACCCCTCCTCCCAAAGACTCCCTGAGACCCCCCCAGGCAGGTGAATTACATCCTTCTCTCGGGATCTAGCGGCACAAGGCTCAGCACAAAAGAACCCCCAGGAAATGGTGGCTGAAGGAATAAATGGATAGATGTGGGTTTATGTGTCTATGTGTTCGCTTATTTATTCACTCAACAAATACTTTTTTTTTTTTTTGGCCATGCCATGTGGCATGCGGGATCTTAGCTCCCCAACTGGGATCGAACCCGTGACCCCTGCAGTGGAAGCTCGGAGTTCTAACCACTGGACTGCCAGGGAAGTCCCCATTCAGCAAATACTTAATTGAGCATTTACACTGTGCCAGGGACTGGGTGTCGACGTGTTAGACAAATAAGAGACGTCTCTCCCTGCCTCAGCCATGAAGCTTAGGGCACGGAAACTACCCGGAGAATATACGATCAGATACCGCGACAATGGCAAGACGGAAGGACAGGGTAGGGGGGCCAGTCCAGGCCAGGGGGGTTGGGGAGCCCTAGATGGAGATCTGAGAGAGGTGGAAGGGTGAGCCCAACCAAGAGTGGAGAGAAGGCCCTGGCAGGGGTGGGAAGAAAGCCAGAGGAAGGGCCAGAGGGAGTGAAGGAGGGGGAGCCGCTTGGGCGCCAGAGGCAGACCAGCACCTCCAGGGCTGGAGGGGGTCTCGCTCACCCTGGGCTCCATGCTCCAGCTCCCTCCAGGGCATTGAGGAGGCCTCTGGACACGTTTTGGGGAACCACTCACCTTCCCAGTATGGTTATAAAGCAAAGACAATGGGGGTGGGGGCAATGTTCGTTGTAATTGTTTTGCAACAAAATTAAATACCTAAAAGGGTGTGGCTCCCTTCAAACATGTGTCCCTGGGAGGCTGAACTTTTCCTGGAAGCACTCAGATGTTTTGGCAACAGCTTTCAAGGCCAGTTTTAGTTTACGGACTCCATCAGCAAAACATCTCTATTGTATAATTGTCTCTAGTTTCTATCAAAGCACCAACAAGTAGCCCCAGTATGATCTGTGATTAATATTAGCACTGCTAAATTTATCAGAGTTGGCTCCAAATAAGACTTCAGGTGTTCCCTTCTCCACCCCACCCCACAAATCAAAATCATCCCCAAAGCACAAAGATTGGCCACACGGAGGAGATTCCAAACCTGGAGTGGATTTTGGTGAAATGGAAGAATGAGAGCTTGAAGTTCAGACAGACCTGAGTCCAAATTCTGACTCTATCATTAAGGTTACCATGGTAACCTTAGGTAACCTTAGGCCAGCTGCGCCTTCCTTCTCTGTGGCTCAGTTTCCTTCTCTTGCAACAGTGACTCACAGCTACTTCACAGGGTGGGAGGGAGTGCCCAGAACAGGCCCTGGCATAGAGGTGGCCCCTAACAAACCTCAGTTTCCTTATTAGGATATAACAGCTCTCTGGCACGTGTTACCCAATCTGTCGTGCGTATGTCCGTGAAACCTTGGATATTTAACAAACATCTATCTGAACACAAAGAACTAAAATCACAGCCCTGACTGCAACCTCCATCAACTCTGACACATAATTCCTTTTAAACACCTCTGTTACTTTAGCCCAACTTTCAGGCATTTCTCAAAGGCCAGCCTCTAGCCCCCAAATGAATTCTGCAGCCTGGAAGCTCCTTGACCTTCTTTTCAACGTCAAGAGCATCAGCGGATATGATGGTTCCTGGGAAAGCTACACTTCTGGTTCCCTGGAGAAAGCACACATCGTGTAGTTCAGACTCCTACGTTCCTTACCTGCTAGAATAGGGCCCATGGATGAGCTTCGGGGGGTCTGTGAACATCCTGAGGTTGGAGCACAATTGGGTAGACATAGGGATGCGTTTTCTTGGGAGAAAGTCTACACTAAATATTGTAAAACTGGAAATCCATGGGCCAAAGTTTGCCTGAAACATGTGGTTTGGGCCCCAAGGGGCTTTATGAAATTTGGGGGTAGTTGCCAACATTGAAAAACCGAGAGATTTCACATTAAAGTCTGGACTTCTGGCTTCTCTTAAAAAAATTGGAAAATCTGGCAAGTGGCAGGTACGTCTCTGCTTGGGGACGGTCAGTGGGGCTGAAGAGCAGCTCCCCCACCCCTGCCAATGCATTTTCCAGTCCACCGCGGTCCCTACCACACCAGATCGCAAACCCTAGCCTACAGCTTTCATCTGCTTCTTAAAGTAAGGCTGTGACACGCCCCCACCCCCCACCCCCACCCCAGAGCAACGAGGCTATAAGGGCAAGCAGAGGCCTCTCTGGGGTCCTGAGGCCTGTGGGTTAAACCGTTCTGGTTGGGGCAGCACGAGGCAGGGTCCCACCCCAGAGGCCCTGTCCCTACCCCTCCCCAGATGCTCACTGCCAGGGCCTCACCAAGCTGAGTGGAGCCAACCCCAGAGCAGATGCCCAGAGCCTCTGCCTCCTGCAGAGCTGAGCGGCTAGAGGACTCCTGCTTCTGTCTGAGAGTCTCAGCGGGCTCCAAGGAGGGGCCTCACAAATCCTCACTTGCTCAGGGGAGCTTCCAGCTGCATTTCAGGCTCCTGATTCCCAGGCTCCATGCTTTCCTGGAGTAACTTCTTTCATCCTCACATCCTGTGTGTGTGTGTGTGTGTGTGTGTGTGCAGGGGTGCTGTCATTACCCTCCTTTGACAGATGGGGAAACTGAGGATCGCACAGCTGGCAGCAGGCAGAGCTGGTGCTGTCTGGCTCCCGAGCTGGAACCTGAAGAGCCTCACTAGGCTTCCATCCTCGGGACAGCGAGTAGAGTGGGTTCTGTTATTATGCCCTTTTATAGACGAGGAAATGGAGGCTCTGACTGTCCCAAGTCACTCGCAGTCAGGAAGGGACAGAAAAGAGATTCTGACACGGGAGGTCCTGACCCCAAGCTGTGATCTGAGCCACCAAGTTACCCCCATCTCTCTCCTACTGAGCCTACCTACCACTCATTGGCAGAAATCCCCACGGTCACCAACAACCAGAACCACGGATTTGGCCAGAAAGCCGCAGGACACACAGATCAGAGTAACCTCGCAGAGGACAGAGGCAGAGCGAGGAAGGGCAGCATCCCCGGGGTGGGGCCGGAGATGAGGATGGGAAAGCAGGGGCTTCCGAGAGGAGACTGGAGGCGGAGCACAGCAATAAGCAAAGCTCTGGGACCGTGGCCCTTACCTCTTGGGCAGAAGCAGCGAAGCTAATACATTCAAGCCACCAACCTGGTCCAGTAGAGAACCTGGAGAGAGAGGAGAAGGGATTGAGCATCCTGAGGAAATCGTGAAATGTCTCCACCTCGGGCAGAATGAGGCACTCCTGGGGCCAAGGGACCCTGCACACCATCAGGATCCACAGGTTGGTGAATGTAAACTCAGGTCCTGACAGCCACTGGTTACCTTCATTTCTGGGCTCTAAGCCTCAGTGTCGCCATCTTATGAATGGGGATAACTGATGCCTTCTCTTGTAGAACATCTGTTTTTCCCAGCAGACTGGAAGCTCCTTAAAGGGCAGGGACTGTGTCTTACACCTTTAGCCTTTGACAGAGGGCCTGGCAAACGTGGGGTGCCCATTAAGTACATGATGGATGATTGAGTGAATGGATGGATGGATGGAGGGATTAATTAATTGACAAACCATGTATCTCAAAGGACTGCAGGGAGGGTCAAATGAGAAAGAAGTGCGAAAGGGTTCTTCATTATTAGGTGCCTGCGTGCTGTGGGGGGATGAACACAAAAGTCATGATGACGTTTCTAACTGGTATATTTGTTCACTCGTTTATTCATTTGGTTAATCATCAAATACTGAGGCTCATCTGAGCTGGGCTCCGGACCAAGCGTGGGAGGTATGGAGATGGATTAGACAAGGTCTCTGCCCTGTCTACCGAGAGCTTGAAGGCAAGCTGGGGCGACTGAATAAAGAACTGAGGTCCACACACTGGGGTAAGCAGAGGATGCAGTGGGAATCCCAGGGGAGGTCAGGGGAGACCCAGGGAGGATGCAACCCCCGAGCCAAGCCTGGCGGACGAATCCACTTTAGTCAGGTGGAGGGGCCGCATGGGAGGAAAGAGAATGTCAGGCCTTTGGTCACGCAGGGCTCAGCGAGAGACATGGGAAAGATGAGGCTGCAGAGATGGCAGGGGCTGCACCCAGCAGGGCCTGGTCCAAGCAGCTGCAGGGGAGGGAGATGATGCAGTTTGTCTTCAGAAAGGTCCCACTGCATGCTATGTAGAAGATGGGGAGGACGGAGAGGTCTACAGGAAATGGGGAGACCCTCTCCCAAGAGTGTTTGCTGAGCCTCCCTGCAGCCCTGCAGGAAGGCAGAGTGACGGCTCGTGTCATCCCCACTTTACAGATGCAGCAAGCGAGGCTATGAGGAGACAGACTTCCCCAGAATCCCGTACAGCTCAGTGAGGGGTGGAGCTGGTTAGAAAGCTCAGGCCTTCGTGCCTCCTACTGAAACCCTGTTTCCTGCCCTCTGGGAACGTGGTCTTCTTGGAAAAGCTGCTTGAAGCCACACAAAGACCACCCTTGCTGTGGGTATTCAGAGACGGAGCAGGGACTGGAGGAGAGGGAGACACTTCCCACCAGGCGGGTCCTGATGAGTGGACGGTGGGCGACATCAGAAGCAGTGGCTCAGAGAGGGAGAGCCCTGTGGGTGGGCTCACAAAGCCAGGAAGTTCACGGCTGCCTGACATCTGTGTGTCCCTGTGGGTGCACTCCCCAGACGGGAGACCTCAGGGGGGTGGGCAGGACGGCGTGGACCTTAACGTTTGGCAGGCTACTTTTCTATCTCACGGCAAATCTGCCGGCACAGATGGGGAAACTGAGGCCCAGGACCAGCCAAGGACACAAGGAATTGGTGGAGACGGGACTGGAGTCCAGGAAGAGAAAAGAGAAAGAGAAAGAGATGGACTGAGACAGTGGGGAGAGTGATGATAGACAGACAGACAGATAGACAGATAGATAGGAAGAAAGGAAAGAGAAGAGAGATGGGGAGACACAGACAGACAGACAGGAGGAGTGGAGGGAGCGCAAGCAGAGACCAGAGAGAAGCCCAAATGGGAAAGTAAAGAAGGGGTGTAAAAGTAACAAGGGGTCCGCCCAACTCCTCCCCCTCCCCCTGCCCCCTCCCCCTCTCTCTACCTGGGCCTCCATCTTCAGGGGTCAAGGGGACCCGGACCCCTGGTCCCTGTGGGGAGGGAGGAGCTGGGGTTTCTCCCCCACTCAAAGGCTGCCCACCCCCCGCACCCCCGCCCCCGGAGCTAATCAGTGGCTGTCATCTCCACGGTGAGGTCTTGGTTAAGGAGATTTAGGGCTGGGATCAATAGGAAATTTAAAAATCGATGCAGCGCGCAGGGCAAAATCGATGGCGTTTAATCGCCTTGCCGATTCCCAGTCAAAACAATTAGCCACGCTGAGTGTTGAACACGGTGGCGACACGGCATTAACCGTCAATATTGGTGTAAGTGATGGCGGGGCGGGCAGGGGAATCCCCGGGCCTCTTAGGGGCCTGGAGTCAGACAGTGCCTTCAGGCTGGGGTCCCCCCTGCAGACAGCGCTCCCCTCCTGCCCTGGTCTCTGCCCTCTGCCCTCTGCCACCCTCATCTGCGATGCCCACAGGCAGGACCACCCCTGGCCCATCGGCCTCCAATTCTCCTCCTCGTGCCATCTCCCAGGTCCCGGAACCCCTGTATTCCCCCGACAAATCCCTCTCCCAAGTAGCTAACATCTCCCCACGGGACAGGCAAGCCCTGTGGGAGCTGGGAGCCGTATTCCCAGCAGGACCTTGAGACTGGAAGATGGGAATGGGAGCTATTTAGAAGGTGCCTTCTCCACATTTCACAGATGGGAACTCTGGGGAACAGAGGGCAAAAGCAGACGGCCCGTGGTGACCTGGCACGGAAGCAGGACTGGAACCCTGACTTCTCTGACTCCGGAGTCCCTGTTCCCCGCAGCTGCGCCACACAGAAGGGGAAGATTCCAATGTTTCCTGGGGAAGGAAAGAAGGTCCTGGCCCCTCAGCTCTCCTAGAAGCCACTAGAACTGCTTCTGGAGGGTAGGCTGGAGCCTGGCTCCACTGGGGGTCCCTACACCACCCAGTACAGGGTATGGCCCTGAGCTGGAGCTTGGGACAGGCCTGAGGATGACAGCACCCATCGGCCCCCCCCCACACACTGCCCACACACACTTCCACTGAGGAGCAGACGGGCAGAGCAACCATCTCCCACAAACACATCAGCTCAGCTAAATTCAGCAGAGTAGCCCATAGTGACAGCAGCCGGGGTTTCCGGGGTGCTAGCTGCGTGCCAGGTGTGGTTCGTTGCTCTGCGGGCATGATCTTGAAGAATCCTTACAACCCTTTGGTGAGGATCATTCTCACGGTACAGATGAGGAAATGGAGGCTCAGAGAGGTGAAGTCACTTGCCCAAGGTCACACATCCAAGAGGGGGCAGCTCAGTCTGACCGGACTCCGAGGGAAACGGGACACAGAGTGAACAAGGTCTAATGACCGCAAGCAAGAAAGTGGATGCAAGGAGGGGGTGCAGGAACCCGGCGCCTAGGCAGAGGTCCAGGAGTGGCCCACAGAGGCCCCTGAGGCAGGGGTGGGGCAAGCAAGGGGCGGGGCAAAACTGGAGACAGCCCTCGAAGCTCCTGACCTGGCAGGACGAGGATGGGAGATGGTGAGGCCGAGGCTGGCTCTCACCTTCTCTGAAATTGCCGGAGGGCTCCGAAGAGCCCCGAAGGGTCCTGGGGTGCTGCGTGGGGAGGGTGGAGGCTTCCCCAGCCACCTGCTCCCTGGCGCGGAGGCAGGGAGCGTGTGCGGGCAGGGGAGGAGGTCTGTGAGATGAGCCAGGGATTGATCTGACAAGGTCCTAATCAAATGGTCAATATCACTGACCTGACCACTTAACCTATTGATAAGCTGGCAAGGATGGAGCAGGCGGCGAGGGCTCAGGAAGGACGGCAGCGAGAGGGTTGGGGGGCAGCCCGATGGGCAGTGCTCAGGCCCACAGTGTGCCTGGGTCTGGGGGCCTGGGAGAGGGTGGGCAGTTTCCTCCTCAAGTGCCCCCACCCACCTCCCCTCTGATAGGTCATGTGTCTTCTTCTTTTTTTTTTTTTTTTTGGCCGTGCGCATAGCATGTGGGATCTTAGTTCCCCGACCAGGGATCGAACCCGCGTCCCCTGCATTGGGAGTGGACCACCAGGGAAACCCCACGGTCATGTGTCTTCTGCGTGAGTCTTCTACCCAAGCCTCTCCCGCTGGTCAGGGCCCCTCAGCCCCACCCTGAGTGAGGCTGGGAACCATCCCCAGCACCCAAGCCATTCCCAGCTCTCCTTGGATCGTGCCTTAGCTTCTCACACATATGAGGGACTTCTCTGTGCCTCAGTGTCCTTTTCTGTAAGCTGGGGGTAGTTACAATAGGAAATGCCAGGAAACAACCTAGATGTCCTGTGATTGGGGACTGGTACAGTTCATGATGGTGCGGCAGCCGCATAATGGAGGGCTGCAGAGTTGTAGAAAATATGCTTGAAATAAATTCATTGACAAGGAAGCTACATTCCTAATCCATTGTTAGGAAGGAAAAAAAGGCAGGTTATAAACTGGTATGTAGTTTATGGTTCCATTTTTATGAAACGCACGCACATACACACACACTTTTTTTTTATTTTCCTGAAGAGAAAGGTTTAGAGCAGAAATCAGAACTCTTTTTTTTTTTAAGTTTTTTTTTTTTTTTTGGCTGCACCGTGCAGCTTGGGGGATTTTAGTTCCCCGACCAGGGATTGAACCCGTGCCCAATCCCTGGGCCCCAGCAGTGAAAGCAGAGTTCTAACCACTGGACCGCCAGGGAAGTCCCAGAAGTCAGAATTCAGAGTTTGGTCCCAGGCATCTGACTTTTAATACATTCTTTGGGTAAACTCGTAGGCATACTCCCATTTGAGAAAAAGCTATCTAAAAAGATAGGCATCAGGAAATTAATTTTTTTTTTTTTTTTTTTTGCGGTACGTGGGCCTCTCACTGCTGCGGCCTCTCCCGTCACGGAGCACAGGCTCCAGACGCGCAGGCCCAGCGGCCATGGCTCACGGGCCCAGCCGCTCCGCGGCATGTGGGATCTTCCCGGACCGGGGCACGAACCCGTGTCCCCTGCATCGGCAGGCGGACTCTCAACCACTGCGCCACCAGGGAAGCCCAAGAAGTTAATTTTTTTTTTTTCATTTAACTAGATGATCATGGTGGGAT